TTGCCCAGGCGGGTTTGGAACCCGCAGGCTCAGGCAGTCCACTCACCTCAGCCTCCCAAAGCGCAGGATTACAGGCTGAGCCACCGAGCCCGGTTTGCATTTCTTTGTGTTTCGTATTCTTTCTGTGATCTGTACTGCAAACTTTTCTTGCATTGTTCTTTTTTTTTTTTTTTTGCATTTCTTTGTGTTTCATATTATTTCTATGATCTGTACTGCAACCTTTTCTTGCATTGATCTATTTTTTTTTTTTTTTTTGAGTTGGAGTCTCACTCAGTTGCCCAGGCTGGAGTGCAGTGGCACGCTCGCTGTCATTCCCGCATCCGTCTGCTGGGCTCCGGCAATCCTTCAGCCTCAACCTTCCAAGTAGCTGGAACTACAGGCGTGCGCTAACGTGCCTGCCTAGTTTTTTTTTTTATTTATTGTAGAGACGAGGTCTCATCATGTTGCCCAGGCTGTTCTCGAACCCGTGGGCTCTGGTGAGGAGGCCCTCACCTTGACCTCCCAAAGTGCTGGGATTACAGGTTTGAGCCACCGTGCCCAACCTGCATTGATCTATTAATTGGTCACACTTTAATCATAGTTTCTTTGTGCCAGTCAAGAGAGAATCCAAAGATGAAAAGAGGTCCTACTGCTCAAGTTAGAAACTTTCATTTAGTCCTGTGCAGTCTAATATGGTAGCTACCAGCCACTTAAGCACTTGAAATTGACTAACCCAGGGGTCCCCAGTCCCTGGGCCATGGACCAGCATCATCTGTGCCCTGTTATAAACCTGTGCCCTGTTATGAACTGGGCCACAGCAGGAGGTGAGGGGCACGAGAATGAGCAAAGCTTTATCTGTATTACAGCCACTCTCCATCGCACACACCTGAGCTCTGCCTCGTGTCAGATCAGCAGAGATATTCAATTTTCATAGTTCATAGGAGCTAGGTGGTAAGCTCCTTATGAGAATCTAGTGTCTGATGATCTGAGGTAGAGCTGAGGCAGTGATGCTAGCACTGGGGAGTGATTGCAAATACAGATTAACATTAGCAGTGAGGTTGGTCTGCACAGAAACCATAATAAATCAATTGCTTGCAGACCCCCATCAAATCCTGTAAATGAATTGATGTACTTCAGTTTTACAGCTGCAACTGGTAGCAGGCTTTAAGTCAGGATCTGACATTTATTTTGGTCTGCACGTGGCCTACCCATTATTTTATTTACCACTTTTTTTGTCCGAACCCTTTTTTTAAATGAGTGGTATAATCATTTATATATTAAAATGTAATAATAATAAAGTGCACAATAAATATTATGCACTTGAATCATCCCAAAAGCATCCCCTCCCAACCCTGGTCCGTGGAATTATCTTCCACAACACCGATCCCTGATACCAAAAAGGTTGGGGACTGCTAGGCTAGACCAACTTGAGATGTGATGTATAAGTGTAAAATGCATACAATTCTAAATTCCAAAAAATTACAAAATACCTCATTAATATATTTTTATATTGGTTATATGCTGATAATATTTTGGGCACAACTGACTGTATGGTTTTTCTCAGTAGGATCATCTCTTCCTTTTTCCTAAGTGTGTTTAATGGTGACAGTATATGCTTATTTGCTTTACGCTTGTGGGATACTTCGTAGTTGTTTGGTGTGTGCTGGAAAAACATTATTTTCTCTTAACTCTTAAGTTGGTTGTATCTGAGAAAGGTGTTTTTAGTGTTACTGGTTAACTGGAAGACATCTCACTTGTACTCGCATGTACCTGTCATTTAAGTTCAGACTTTTTGAGAGGTTATGTCACCTAATTGGGTTCATAGTGAGAAATTTTTTGAGAGCTTTTCTTTTATGCTACTTTGTAAAAGAAAGAAAAATCTTATAAATATATTTCTAATCTATAAATATGTAATCTCCTGGGACTTTGATATGAAAAGGAAAAAGGCACCAAGATATATGCCCTGCTACTTATATTTGGGGTTGGGGGCAAGGGGATCAGGGAAGAAATACTTGAAATAGCCACTATTGGGAGAATTGATTATGTGAATTAGGTTCATCGACTTTGATGTACTATTAGTAATCCATTCAGAATGAATTAACAAAACAAAAAGGTGGAAATACCAAAGTGTGTCTAACTTTGATAAGAATCATAAAATTATGTATTCATATGGATGAACTAAAAGCAGCTGATTTGTTCAGGTAGAATTGTGAGTACATTTTTTTTTTCATTTAGTCTTCTATGTGTGTGTATGTGTAATGGAAATGTGAAATGTTTGTGTTTTCAGCTCACATTAGAAATATTCTATTCCTAGGCAATCCCCTCAGGTCCCCTCCCATTGTGGGAGCTTTTCTGTCCTCTCAATAAATCTTGCTTTCTCAGAAAAAAAAATTCTATTCCTTAGGGATGGATTCGTTCAGTCAGATCCCAGAAGGAAGTCTTGTTCCTGCATGTAAATGATGGGTCATCTTTGGAAAACCTTCAGGTTGTTGCAGATTCAAGTTTTCACAATAGGTAAGCTTTTTAAAGAATTTATTCCTTCTTTTTCATCTCCAGTGCTTCCCACTTCCTTAATCCTGTGTTCCCATTGCCCCCTGAGTGATCTTTCTAAATAAAATCTACTTCCAAAGCTTTGAGGATCAAGCCCAAATTGTGTGTGTGTGTGTGTGTGTGTGTGTGTGTGTGTGTGTGTGTGTGTGTGTGTGTGTTGAAGTCTCACTCTGTCTCCCAGGCTGGAGTGCAGTGGCACGCTCATGGCCACCACACCCTCGGCCTGCTGGACTGCCTCAGCCTTCCAAGTAGCTGAAACTACCGGCACGTACCACCATGCCTGGCTAATTTTTTTATTTATTGTAGAAACGAGGTCTCACCAAGTTGCCCAACTGGTCTCGAACCCATGAGCTCAGGCAATTCTCTCACCTCAGCCTCCCAAAGTGCTGGGATTATAGGTATGAGCCACCATGTCCGGCCAAGCCCACATATTTGGAATCAAGATTCTTCAAGCTCAGGCCTTTTGTCCACTATGTGTTCACAGGCTAATCTCCCCCACCAGTACTTTGCTTCAGTCTTTTTAAACTAGTACTTGCAGCTCTCCTAATCTGTTCTCCTTCTTGTCTTCCAGCATGTATAGTTGCTGTCTCTGTTCAATGCAACCTCTTCTTCATCTGTCTTTCATAGTTCACGTTTAGGCATCATCTTGACTGTGTCTGGTACCCCTTTTCTGTACTCCCTTGGCATCTGTGCCTACCTGCCTTAGACTCTATCACACTGAATGGTAATCAACTGTATTCTTATTGGACTGTGTACTTTTCACTCAGCTTTCCCAATGATAACATTGTATGTAACCGTAGTTTGTTATCCATGCCAGGGAATTGATATTGGTATAGTACTGTTAGGGAAACTGTAGAGCTTATTCTGATTTCACTAGTTTTTGCATGTACTCTGCAATTGTTTAAAAAAGTTTTTTGGCCAACTAACTTTTTAATAAGGATAGTGAAATAACCTTTTAATTCCAAATTCCTATATGCAAATCCTTAGCTTTGTTTATTCCCACTTTAAAGCTCATGGAATTCTTTTTTTTTTTTTTTTTTTTGAGTCAGAGTCGAGTCTCACTTCATCGCCCAGGCTAGAGTGCAGTGGCACACTCACAGCACTCCAGTGTCGACCTGCTGGGCTCAGGCGATCCTTCCGCCTCAGCCTTCCAAGTAGCCGGAACTACAGGCATATGCTACCATGCCTGGCTAATTTTTTGATTTATTGTAGAGACAAAATCTCTCGCCACATTGCCCAGGCTGGTCTCGAACCCCTAGGCTCAGGCAGTTATCTTGCCTCCGCCTCCCAAAGTACTGGGATTACAATCTTGAGCCACCGCACCTAGCCTGGAATTCATTTTTACAATTTTGGTATACAATAGTGCGTCTATAGATTCTGAACACTGTCTTTTTTATTCTTTGTCTATTCAAGACAATTAAGGATGAAAAACTTCTGTCATTAAGTATTTTCATGTTTTTGATAGCAAGGTTTGTATTAAGATGAAGGTCATATAAAATTATACCTTGTTTATCTTAGTTTTTTGTTAATATAGAGAATTGACTTTTGGGAGTTCTGTGGAAGTCCAAGGGCAGCTGGTAAAAAGCCCATCCAAAAGGCAAAATGTGGAATTGAAAGCAGAAAAAATTGAAGTTATTGGAAATTGTGATGCCAAGGTATGCTTTCTGACACTTTTGTTGAGGCTGTTTAGGCTTAATTTAATACACTAGTAATCTATTTTAAATGTGATTATTGGATTGGAACATGTTTCAGTTGTGATTTCTCAGGTAAGTGGAACAGGCCATAGAGCCTGTGGAGAGAACAGCAAAAATTATTTATGTAAATAGGTTAGTCATATGAGTGAGAGATAAGTATTAATCTATACATCTTTGTGGTTCCTGTCACAGTTGAAAATTGCTGCTTTTACAAGGATACCCAGTCAGCCACAATAACATTCAAAGGCAGATCATTCCAGTTTCACATTCTTAGGAAAGCTAGAAATGTCTTTTTTTTGAGTTGGAGTCTCACTCTGTCACCCAGGCTGGAGTGCAGTGGCAGGGTCATGGCTACCATAACTTTGACCTACTGGGCTTAGGCGATCCTTCCGCCTCAGCCTCCCAAGTAGCTGGGACTATAGGTGCATGTCCCCATGCTGGCTAATTTTTGTATTTATTGTAGAGATGAGGGCTTGCCAAGTTGCCCAGGCTGGTCTTGAACCCCTGGGCTCAGGCAGTCTTCTTGCTTTTGCTTCCCAAAGTGCTGGGATTATAGGTATGAGCCACTTTGCCTGGCTTGAAATGACTTTTGCATGATCTAGAACCAATCATGCAGCCATCTGTGACTGTTTGATACTAAATCAATTAAAACAATACAGCGTGGCATTAGCCACATTTCAAGTGCTCAGTAGTTGCATGCAGCTATTGGATAGCACAGATGCAGAACATTTCCATTTATCACAGGAAGTTCTATTGGATCTACAATGTTGTAATGCTTAGGGTGAACAGAGACAAGAAAATCTACATTAAGATGTATTTATGCCTGTTTTTGCAAGATTCTTCCATTGGTAGTTTTATATTTATAAGCTTGATAAAGAGGTTAGAGGGACTAGAATTAAAGATTATCAATCCAGTTCTTTAATTTTACAATGATGGAGAAAAAAACTGAGACCCAGTCAGTCAGGTGACGTGACTTGCCTAAGGTAATGAGTTGATTAGTGGCACAGCTGAAATTTATATTCTAACCATTTGACTCTGTGTTTTTGCTATAATTGTCTTCAAACGTTTAAGGAACAAATAATGAGGAAATGTAAGGAAATTGCATCATTCTGATTCATTTTTAGTTTTGGATAATAGAAATTAAATGTAAGGGAATGAAGGAACAAAATAGGGTGATTTTCTTTAAAAATGTTATTCTGAACAATTTGCTAAGAAATTTTATTGACATGGAAAGTCAGGAGTCAGGTTCTAAGATTTATGAAAAATAGACGGGTATAATTTGGAAATCAAGAAACGAAGGGAGAAGGTAATCATTTTTATTTTTACTTTTTTAGGTGAATCTGTTTTAGAGGGATTAAAGATTTGCCATGTGTTTCAATACAGTAGTCCCTGTTATCTGCAGTTTTGCTTTCCATAGTTTGTTACCTGTACTGAACTATAATCTGAAAATATCAAATGGGATATTCCAAAAATAAACAAGTTACAAGTTTTAATTTGCTCGTCATTTTAAATAGTGTGACAGAATCTCAAGCTGTCCTGCTGCATCCTGCCTGGGTTGTGAATCATCCTTTTGTCCTGCTTATCCATGCTCTGTACGCTACCACTCATTACTGTATAAGAAAAAACATAGTGTATAGGGGTCAGTATTATTTGAGGTTTCTGGCATCCACTGGTATTATACCCTGTCAATAAGTGTGGGCAGACTAATGTGTTCTTGGCTTCTGTTGGTTCCTTCACCATCTCTTCCCCTTCAGTTTGGTGTCATTTTAAAGTATTCTGATATGAGGGAATTCTGAGCCCCTAGCAGTCCCCAATCCCCAGATCTCTGTTGTAATGTGGTCACATTTTCACTTTACTAAGTATGATGCTTGTTCCCATACAACATAAAATTTAGTATGTGAGACCAGCTCAAGCTAGTAATCCCAGCACTTTTGGAGGCCTAGGCGAGAGGATTGAATGAGTACAGGGGTTCGAGACCAGCCTGGGCAACTTTGGTGAGACCTCGTCTCTACAATAAATAAAAAAATTAGCTGGTCGTGGTGGCACGTGCCTGTAGTTCCAACTACTTGGAAGGATGATGTAGTTCCAACTACTTGGAAGGATGAGGCAGAAGGATCACTTGAGCCCAGCAGATTAAGGCTGCGGTGGCCATGAGCGTGCCACTGCACTCCAGCCTGGATGACAGAGTGAGACTCCAACTCCAAAACAAAACAAATTTAATGTGTGTACAAGGCCCAAAAAGAATAGATGAGACCAAAATATGCAGGCTGCCTATGTAGCTCTTTTTTTTTTTTTTAAAGCTTCTCTGTTATATTTTTTTCTTGAAACTTTAGTTTTTGGCTGAAAGAATATGTCAGTCTTCTTAATCTTGTAAAGTGAATGTGGGCAGGGTAGAAATATTTCAAGGGACATTAATCACAACAACATGAGGGTTGACAGTCACAGGACACTACCAGAGGAGGGAAGAAAGTGGGGAGGCACATAACGACAAAAAGGCTACCTGATGCTAAACTAGAGGAAGTGAGGACCAGGTGGAGGCCCAAACTTCACCTGCACATACATTACTTATGTACCTAATCCTGACTTGTACTTCACATCTTTATAATAAAAAAAAAGAAATATTTCAGGATGGAGCTATAATTTCCTTTAAAATTTTTTGTAAATCTTCACTACTCTGCTAGATGAAAGAAAACTGTTGACGCTCCCTCACATTCTTAGACACCAGTAACATGTTGATAAACAGTAGTAAATTGCACCAGTTGATTATGAGTGATTGTGGGCTTTCGAGACATATAGGTAATTTTAAAATTCAACACCAGCTGTGTGTATACAGTGGTAGAAAACACAATCTTTTATAGCTACAATATTTTGAACTCCTGTGTGCCAAACAGTAGATATTTTGCATAATTAATCTTAACCTCTCGATTTGTAAGAAGTGATTGATAGCTAGTGGATAAAAACTTGATTAATAACAGATGAGCCTCAGTAACTTAACTTATTAAGTAGTAACTATTAGTAATGTAACTAATAAGTAATAGCACACAATTCAAACCTGCATCTCTCTGACTCTACCCCATCATTTCACTATGTGGTGGAAATAGTGTGGACTATAGTCAGTTATATTTAGAAGTTTAGAAGGAGAGCATCTTAGTTGCATTCTAAAGCACTATTTAAGAAATGCCCTGAAGCTGATATTATAAAGGAGTATCTTTTTTAGCTTATAATGTGTTTTTCTATTTCTTGGCAGGCTTTCCCTATCAAATATAAAGAAAGGCATCCTTTGGAATACTTGAGACAATACCCTCACCTCAGGTGTAGGACCAATGTTCTGGGTTCTGTACTGAGGGTTCGCAGTGAAGCTACAGCTGCCATTCATTCTTTCTTTAAGGTAAGACCTCAGACATTTCCATGACCTTTGGTTATCCCTCTCCCTCTTTGTGCCTCTTCATTCCCAAGCAGCCATGATCTGCTTCCTTTTACTGTGCACTAGCTTGCATTTTCTAGATTGTTATCTAGATGAAATCATTCAGTATGTACTCTTTTTTGAGTCTGCTTTTTTCACTCAGCATAATTATTTTGAGGTTCATCCACGTTGTTGAGTGTATGAGTAGTTTGTTTTTACAGTTAATTATGATGTTGGCTATCTGGTTGATGAAAGTTCCTCCTATTCCTTATTTGCTGAGGGTATTATCAGGAGGAGCTATTGGATTTTGTCAAATACTTTTCTGCATCTTTTGAGATGACCTATGGTTTTCCTGTTTTAGTTTGTTAGTATGCTGAATTGCATTGATTGATTTTTTTTTTTTTTGAGTTCGAGTCTCACTCCATCACCCAGGTTGGAGGGCAGTGGCATGCTCACGGCCACCCTAGCGTCGACCTGCTGGGCTCAGGCAATCCTTCTGCCTCAGCCTTCCAAGTAGTCAGAACTACAGGCGCTACCACGCCCGGCTAATTTTTTGATTTTTTGATTTATTGTACAGAGGAGGTCTCACCAAATTGCCCAGGCTGTTGTCTGACCCGTGGGCTCAGGCAATCCCCTCACCTCGACCTCCCAAAGTGTTGATATTATAGACTTGAGCCACGGTGCCCGGCCGATTGATTTTTTTAAATATTAAACTAACCCTTCATTCCCCCACCTGGTCGTGGTGTATTATTCTTTTATTATGTTGTTAGATTCAGTTTGCTATAATTTTGTTTAGAATTTTTGCCTCTACACCCATGAGGGATATTATTCTGTAGTTGCCTTTTATAATGTCTTTGTTTGGTTTTGGTATCAGGGTAAGGGTGGTCTCATTCAGTGAGTTGGGGATATTCTCTCCTTCTGTCTTTTCTGAAAGTATTTCCATAGAATTATAATTCTTTTTTTTTTTTTTGAGCTGGAGTCTCAGTCTATCGTCCAGGCTGGAGTGCAGTGGCACGCTTATGGCCACCGCAGCCTCGACTTGCTGAGCTCAGACGATCCTGGGCTGGAACTACAGATGCGCGCTACCATGTCTAGCTAATTTTTTTTTGTTGTTGTTGTACAGATGAGGTCCTGCCAAATTGCCCAGGCTGGTCTTGAACCCTTGAGTTTAGGCAATCCTCTCGCCTTGGCCTCCCAAAGGGCTGGGATTACAGACTTGAGCCACTGCGCCTAGCTAGGATTTTTTCTTAAATGTGATAGAATTAACTTCACTAGTAAATCTATCTAAGTGTGCACGTTAAAATTTGGGTTTTTTTTTTCTGTGCGTGTGTCGAGGGGAGTAGTTCCCACCTGTACCCCACATATTTAAAATTAAAAATTAAAAAAAAGGTCAAGCAGCAAGATGACAGACTCAAACGAAACCATATCAATAATCACATTAAATGTAAACGATCTAAACATGCAAATTAAGGAGAGATTATCAGACTGGATTCAAAAAGCAAGATCCAACACAATGCTGCCATGCACTTTATATGCAAGCAATGTATTTTAAAATATAAAAACACAAATATATTTGATCCTTTTACAACATCCGCTGGAACTGCACAGGTCCACTTATATGTGAATTTTTTTCAATAAGTATATTGAAAACACTTTTGGAGATTTGTGACACTTTCAAAGATCCTCCTTATGTATACTTTTTTTAATAGAGGTATTGTCTTGCTCTATTACCCAGATTGGAATGCAGTGGTGTAGTCATAGTTCACTATAACCTCAAACTTCTGGCCTCAAGCGATCCTCCCAATTCTGCCTCCTGAATAGCTAGAACTACAGGCGTGCATCACCACGCCCAGCAAGTTTATTTTTTGTAGAGATAGGGTCTTGCTGTGCTGCATAGATTGGTCTTGAACTCCTGGCCTCAAATATTCCTCCTGCCTTGGCCTCCCAAAGGATTGGGATTACAGGTGTAAGCCACCATGACTAGCCTCAGTTTCTTTAATAGATATAGGTTATCTATTTCTTGAATGAACTTTGGTAGTCTGTGTCTTTCAAGGAACTGATCTATCTTATTTAAATTGTAAATATCTTGCCATAAGGTTTTAACAATACCCCCTTATTATCTTTTTTCTTTCTTTTTTTTTTTTTTGAGTTGGAGTCTCACTCTTGTCGCCCAGACTGGAGTGCAGTGGCCGCTCCCTGCCACCGCAGCCTCGACCTGCTGGGTTCCGGCGATCCTTCCGCCTCAGCCTTCCAAGTAGCTGGAATTACAGGCATGCGCTACCACGCCCGGCTGATTTTTTATTTTATTGTAGAGATGAGGTCTCGCCTGCCCAGGTGGGTCTCGAACCAGCGGTCTCAGGCAATCCATCCGCCTCAGCCTCCCAAAGGCGCAGGATTACAGGCTGAGCCACCAAGCCCGGCGTATTATCATTTTATATCTGTAGACTATATTGATGTCATCTAATTCCTGCTATTGATAATTTATGTCTTTTTTTTGATGATCAGTCTGGCTAGAGGTATACCAGTTTTGTCAATCTTTTCTTTATCTCTATTAATTTTCTTTTTTTTTTTTGAGTTGGAGTCTCACTCTGTCGCCCAGACTGGAGTGCAGTGGCCACTCCCGGCCATCGCAGCCTCACCTGCTGGGCTACAGTGATCCTTCTGCCTCAGCCTTCCGAGTAGCCGGAATTACAGGTGCGCTCTATCACACCCGGCTAATTTTTTGATTTATTGTAGAGATGAGGTCTCGCCCGCCCAGGCGGGTCCCGAACCCACGGGCTCAGGCAATCCACTCACCTCAGCCTCCCAAAGTCGCGGGATTACAGGCTGAGCCACCGAGCCCAGCTTCTATTAATTTTCTTTACTTTAAAATCTACTTAGTCTGGTGTTATTATAGCCTCTAGAGCTTTATTTTGATGAGTGTTATCGTGTCATATCTTTTCATTCTTTTACTTTCTAACTATAGTTGACCCTTGAACAACATGGAAGTTAGGGGCACTGACCCCTTTGAGAGTGAAAATTTGCATATAACTTTTGCCTTCCCTAAAACTTAATGAATATCTTACTGTTGATCAGACACCTTGCTGATAACAGTTCATTAATACATATTTTTATTTGAAAAATCTTGCAATCTACATAGCCTAGAAACATGGAAATAATTAAGAAAAAACTAGATGTCGTAATTGTGTAAAGCGTATGTGTGTACGAGTCTATTATTTACTACCATAAGATATAGACAATCTAATATAAAAAAATTAAAATTTATCAAACGTACACAAACACTTATATACCATACATGATGCCATTTTCAGTCAAGAGAAATGTAAACAAAGATGCATTATTAAATCATAACTGCATAAAATTAACTGCAGTACATACTTCACTACTGTAATGATTTTGAAGCTATTGCTATTGCAGTGAGTTCAAGTGTTGCGAGTATCCATTTAAAATACCTGAGACACTCATCATGTCTGCATGAACAGTTGTCTCTCCAGTAAATTGTGTATCACAGTTAAAAAAGTGATCTCTTGCAGTTCTCTCATTCCATTTCACCATGTTTAATGCAATACTGTAAACCTTGAATAACACCAAGAGACCTATATAAAGTGCTACTGGGAATGCTGGAAGTGCTCACAAGAAGTAGAGGAAAATCATGACATTACAAAAAAAAAAAAAATAGCTTGATATGTACCAAAGATGTAGGTCTGTAGATGCAGTTGCTTACCATTTCAAGATAAATGAATCCAGCAGAAGAATCACTGGGAAAACAAAAAGAGACGGAGAAGAAACTTGGTGAAGCTGCCACTGCAGCTACACCAATAGGTGAGAAAATCTTGCAATTTTTGTGAAATATAAAATACATGTTGGCCGGGCATGGTGGCTCACACCTATAATCCCAGCACTTTGGGAAGCTGAGGTGAGACAGTTGCCTGAGCTCACAGGTTCGAGACCAGCCTGGGCAACTTGGTAAGACCTCATCTCTACAATAAATCAAAAAATTACCCGGGCATGGTGGCACATGCCTGTAATTGCAGCTACTTAGAAGGCTGAGGAGGCAGGATCTCCTGAGCCCAGCAGGTCAAAGCTGCTGTGGCCGTGAGTGTACCACTGCACTCCAGCCTGGGTGATAGAGTAAGACTCCAACTCAAAAAAATAAATAGAAATAAAAATGTGTTAATTGACTGTTATCAGCAAGGTGTCTGATCAACAGTAGGCTATTCATTAAGTTTTAGGGAAGGCAAAAGTTATACGCAAATTTTCACTCTCATAGGGGTCAGTGCCCCTAACTTCCATGTTGTTCCAGGGTCAACTATAGTTAAAAAGTAAAAGAATGAGAAAGGCTGGAAGCCAGAGTTAGGTGACCTGACCAGAGACGCCAGCCCCTCCTTCCCAGATTTAGGAAGAAGAGTAAAGAAAAATGCATTTCGGACGGGGCAAGATGGCGACGGCATAGGTGAACTTGTGAGATTCTCTGAACGGACCAAGACTGCAAACTGCTGAATAGACAGACTGTAAAACAGAGGGAAAAGTGAACAAAACCAGAAGACCCTCATAAGGAAGAACAGGTCATTGCAGAAGAGAAATAAAAGCAACCCCACCTTCCCTCAAAAACAGAATTGAAGAGGGGGAGGGAAAGGGGTAAAGGGAGAAAAATCTACAGAAATGAAGAAAAACCAAAAGAAGAGTATGGGTCTCTCCCAGACGCCTGGGAGAGCAGACACTGAGAAAATTGACTTTGGAATACAAACAATGCAAAGTCCCCAGAATGAAGGGTTTCAAAATGCAAATGCAGATATCAAAACAATAATGGAGAGACTAAAAAGAATTGAGGAGACACAAGAAGAAACTAGGAAGGAGCTGATATCTGAGATAACAGTAATAAAGAATACTGTGAATGAAATAAATAACAAATTGATAAGCATGGAAAGCAGAATTACCCAAGCAGAAGAAAGAATCTCAGAGCTTGAGGACCAAAATATAGAAAT